ATGTGTATAAGAGACAGATATATATATATATATATATATTTAATATAATTAAAACATTACGATGGGAAAATAGGCTTAATTGTTATGCGAAACTAAATAATTTCCAATTGAAATAGGTGTCATAATGGGGCATATAAATAGAAAAACCAATCATTAAGAACCTGCTTACCTCCTCCATTTTCATAGCACAGGTATGGAAACCTCCACACGTTTCCCAATCCAACAGCATAGCCGAGACACGAGAGCAGGAAATCGGCCTCTGCTGCCGTCCTCGGATGCAGTGCTGGAGTTCAGAAGTGGCATCCACACCTCCAGTGCCTCTTTCACCAATCGATGCGCTCTTGTCTTCAACAGGGGTGCTCTCAACATCTTGTTTGACTGGAGTTGCATCTCTGTCCCCAATCTTTCCAGTATGGAGATCCTGGCCATTTGAGGCAGCAGCTACACTGCTGATGATGGTCTCAATGGTTGATGAGACTGTCATCTCGACAGGAGTGATTGGGATTACATCGTTGGTGATTGTTCCCTTAGCTGATGTGATTTTCACCGCTTGTCCAACGGTAATGTCACTCTCCACAGTGACGGTATCTGTACCATGAGCCAATTCTAGTCCAGATTTGGAGCTCGTTGGTACCTCCTTGCCCTCCGACAATTGAGATTCGATGTCATTAGCAACCAATTATAGATTAAAAAAGGTCAAATGCATCAACATATAATATAGGAACAGGGACAACATTACGAAAATATGAATATTAAAGGTAGTGTACTAAAAATATAATTAATGATTAATAATAAAGAATGAATTCAATATAGATGGATGGATGGATGAATGGATGGATGGATGAATGGATGGATGGATGGATAAATGAATGAATGGATGGATGATGGATGAATGGATGGATGGATGGTTCATTGGATGGGTGGGTGGATGGATGGATGGTTTAATGGATGGATGGGTGGATGGATACATTGATGGCATGAAGGATAAAGGGAAGTATGGATGGATGAATGGATGGATGGATAATAGATAAATTGATGGCTTGAAAAATAGAGGGATGGTTAGATAGATGGATGAATAGATGGATGGATGAATTGATTGATAGATGGATAAACGGATGGATGGATGAATGAATGAATGAATGAATAAATGAATGAATGAATGATTGAATGAATGAATTCAAAAAACGAATTTAATATAGATGGATGGATGGATGGATGGATGGATGAATGAATGAATGAATGAATGAATGAATGAATGAATGAATGAATGGATGATGGATGGATGGATGGATGGATGGGTGGGTTGATGGATGGTTTAATGGATGGGTGGGTGGATAGATGGATGGCTTAATGCATGGATGGGTGGATGGATACATTGATGGCATGAAGGATAAAGGAAACTATGTATGGATTAATGATAGATAAATTGATGGCTTGAAAAATAAAGAGATTGTTAGACAGATGGATGAAGAGATGGATGGATGAATTGATTGATAGATGGATAAACGGATGGATGGATGAATGAATGAATGAATGGATTGATTGATTGATTGATTGATCGGTTTATTGATCGATTGATTGATTGATGGATTGATGGATCGATGGAAGGAAAAATGGATAGATAGATTAATTGATTGATTGATTGATTGATTTATGGATAGATAGATGGATGGATGGATGGATGAATTAATGGATGGATAGATGGATGGATGGATGAATTAATTGATGGATAGATCTGTTTCTTTGCTTTGTGGATGCATGAATGGATGGATGCATAGATAGATGGACACATGCATGGAGGAAAGGAATGATGGATGGGTAAGGTTGGATAGATGGTGGATCGATAATAGATGGATGAGTTAATGGTTATAGGTGGCCGGGAAGAATGTATGGACAGTTTAACCGACAGATAAATGGCCCGAATGAATGGATTTACAGATTAATGGATGAACCAATGAATGAATGAATGAATGAATGGATGGATATATAGATGGATGGACGCATAAAGAAAGAAAAAAATGATGAAAAAATGAAAATACTTACTTGTTGAACAATGTTATAATCTAGACTAACGGCAATTCTAGTCGACATGTTAATGAATTAAAATGAATCACAAATATTAAGGGAGGGCGGGGCTCGTCCAGGCCTATACCTATCTAAAAATGGTATTATTATTATTATTTAAATTGAATAAAAAGGAAAGCTAAGCTAGGCTTTTGGTTATTTATGGACAGGTCAGTGGTTTAGGAAACGTAATGCAATTAAATTGTATTACAAATAAATAGGCTAGCCTATTTTATTTAAGTCCGTTTTGACTAAAAGCAAGACCGACTTATGCAAGTCTCATATGCAGGAAAGGTAACTTTTGTCGAGATCATTCGATAAAAGACGCGCGCCAATCGTATCTTAACATGAGCTCAGAAAAAAAACAATAACGCACACGCACGCCTCTGGCGAATGCGTAATCACTTTCACTGTTTCATTCATAAAGTAACTTCTGTAAAAAAAAAAATATTTTAAGTTTACAACGTCACTTACCGGTGCTACTTGATGAGAATGAGTCTTAAATATCCAAGACATTGTAGTAATAATTAATTCATTTATAATTCGTTTGATTAAAACAATAAAATTATTTCAACTTTTTTACTTTAAGAGAACCAAACGGGTAGCCAAAGCAGAAATATGAACGCGTATCAACAAAGCGTTGTCACGACAATAATGTTGCCATAGATTTTAGTTTCTGCAATGTCTCTTCGATAGATGTTTCTTGCAATTCTCTTCGATACCAACCCAACATTACGCTCGCATCATGAACGGACAACGATACCTACCATGGAGAGAGAATTCTTTACATTCATATTTATTTATGCATAAAATAACATCTTAAAACTATTTTAATACCGGTATATAATGCCAATTACTGGTATTGTTTGATGAGAACAAATGTTAAATATTCAAGACATTTTGCAAACATTAAAATTATATCAGCTTTGCTCTAATTATAAAAACCAAATCGGTAGCCAAAGTAGTAGCAAGGTAATTTAACAAAAGGACGCACATCTCCGCTCTCGAACATAGCGCGTGCGTACAGTCCTTTGATCTTTACTGTGGCATCGACAATCCGATACTAGTTGAGCCATTTTATGAAAACCAGCTATACATGCATATTAGGCATCATATCCATTTGTGTCTATGTGTTACCTATGTGTTCTCACATTTTCTATGTATTCTCAGAATGAAATACATTGCCTGCATGTTCCTTTTGTTAACATATGTTGTTACCTACTGTATGTGTTCTCAACTGTTACAATGTATTGCCACCTATGTGTTCTCATATTTTGTTCTCATATTCACCTGTTCTCATATACCACCTATGTGTTACCATATGCCACCTATGTGTTACCATATGCCACCTATGTGTTCTTATCTGCCACCTATGTGTTCCCATGTGACGTATGTGTTCTCATATGCCACCTATGTGTTCTTATGCCACCTGTGTTCTCATAATATGTCACCTTTGTGTTGTCATTATGCCACATGGTATGTCTCTAGTACGGTTCAGACAAAACCTTTATCAGTTATATATAACAAATAATAAATATTAGTTTTTGAAATGGTATAATCCCAATCAGGATTTCGATCCAATATTCCTTAGTTACAGTTTGGTTGATCAATTGTTTAGAAAGCTGTATCGGTTTAGTGACGATGGTTTACTTTGTAATTCCCGGCGAAAGACGGTGGCGTATCTAGGAGAGGGGAGTGCGGTTCGACGATTAAGTGAGTAAAATTAATAATTACTTGGACGTGATATGTTTTGCTTCAGGCATTCTTATTGGGGGTTACTGGGGTGGGAGCGTTTCCAGCACTAGAGACCAATGGAGACAGATTAGAAATAGACAATGATGAAACAAGAAAAGGTGTAGGCCTATTAAAAATTAAAAAACTGCTACATAAAACCTACAAATATATATTACAGTATATCCAGGATATAATGATTTTAAAATAAATAATAGATAATAAATAATAATGATGATGGTGATGATGATGTTGATGATTATGATGATGATTATAATACTACTACTACTACTACTACTACTAATAATAATAATAATAATAATAATAATAATAATAATAATAATAATAATAATAGTAATAATAATAATAGATTATAGATTAGGTATGTAGTTCTGAAATAACACTTAAGCTTATAAATAAATATAGAATTTAAACAGCATTTTATTTCATTTCATTTATTCTATCACAATTTATGTGATAAAAATGGTATCATATGTAAATAGTATTTGATTACATGTCAATTTATACACTCGTATTACACGTATAAAAAATGTTAATTACGATTTCATATAGATGTTTGCTTGATTACAAACATTTAAAAAAATTAAGGTATCATAATAATAATAATTGGAAGTATCTTCACCAGAAACTGGGTTGGTTTCTGACAATACCTAGAATTTATCCCATTTTTTTATATTTATCCCATAATATATATCTCCAGGACAACCGTTTTTTGTCTCTTTAAAATTAATTCATTTATATCTTTAGGCGCCGCTGTCAAAATCATTTTCTATAGGCTCTATACATAGGGGCCTATTTTCCCAAGTATGTTATTTTAATTTTAACTTATTTATTTATTTTGTTTTTATTTATTTATTTTCTTTTGTATTTTACAATTTTACATTTTGTAATTATTTTTCTGTAAATACTGTAAATCGAGTGTACAAATTGATTAACAGAATATATTCTACTCTTAATTCTCTTCATGCCACTTGTGTAGTGGAGTTGTTATTGATTGAGAGAGTGGAAGACGAGCATCTCAACCAAAACATCACAGCTTCTTCAATTAGCCTACTGTATTCTAGTGACTGCGTAACACAGTGTTTCCAATATCTTTGATTCATAAGAATGTTGTTCATTCAAGTGAATGTAGTCCAATTCATTTCCAGGAGGAGTCCTAGTCGCCATATAGCGGTGTGGTCCGAATTGCATCCATCTTGATACCAAGTCTGAAATTTAAAAAAAAACAAAACAAAACAAAAAAACCTTATAATTATTATATTAAATATGAATTTATCGCCATCACTTTAATACTTAAACACGTTGCATGCTCATCTTTTGGCATAGTATATTAAACTATTGCTGCAATATCATTATTCCAATTCATTTTTTTTTCCGGATAATATATAAAAATATATATAGCATGGTGAATGCC